GGCGTCACCTCCCAGCTGGTCGGCGTCGCCTCTGCGCTCCGTTCGGGGCGGGTCCGGAGAATGGCTTCGGACATGGAATCGTCGCTCGAGGCCAGCTTCTCGGCCAGCGGTGCGGGGGCCGGGGCCGCGGGGTCCCTGCCGCCCGCTCGCTCCCGCATCTTCAAGATTATCGTGATCGGCGACTCCAATGTGGGCAAGACCTGCCTGACCTACCGCTTCTGCGCCGGCCGCTTCCCCGACCGCACGGAGGCTACGATCGGGGTGGATTTCCGAGAGCGAGCCGTGGAGATTGATGGGGAGCGCATCAAGGTGAGCGGACGGGGGCCGTCGGAGCGAGGGCGCCCGGGTGACCGGGGATCCCCGGCCCGCGCGGGGTCGCCCCCGGCCGGGGCAGGGTGGGCGCGCGTCTGCCTCACGCTCATCTGGAGGTTGGAAGGACGTGCGCGTCGCCAGCGTCCGCGGCAGCGCTTCCAAACTTGAGCGAGATGCGGTTTACCCGGGGACCTTGCTTTGTTTTTCATGCAGGTTCTGGTCTGGGGAGGCCACAGGTAGTGCACACGCAGCCGGTCCGCGGACCACACTTTTAGTAGCTACTGAGTAGGCGCTGTTGGCACTCAGTGTGGCGCCAGCCCTGGGAGTCCATGAAGAAAGAAGTAATTTCTCAAGCGCAGGCTGTTCACTTAACGAACACTGTTCGGTAAACATTCCTGCGAGCACTGCGCTGGTAGCAATTGTGGAAGTGAAGCCTCTTGCTTTTGAGGAAGCGCTCAGGTATTCTGCATGCCGTTTCCGCATGACACGGTGCTTGTTAGAAAAATCTTTTCTTGGGGAAACATTTCAGACATGATGGTTTCCACTCGAGTTGTCCGAAGCACATCTCTTGGTGCCACCCTCTCCCGATTCCTTAGTTCTTCTTGGTGGCTCCTGAGTTAGGCACACAGAAAGCGTGCAGAAGGTAGTGGACCAGCCAAGGCCAGGACTGGGGCTGCAGGCACGGATGAGTAAGGATCAGTGACAGGGCTGAGCCTCCTGATGGTGCAGCCTGAGGACACTTCTCCAGGCCAGGCCGCCACCAGCCCTCAGCCAGCTGCTGCCCCTCCTTCAAGCAGGCGTCACCAGAGTTTCCTGCCTGCGTTTTTCTTTTTTTTTTTAGACTGTTCATCTTTACCTGACTCCCCCATGGGGAGGGTGGGGAGGGTGTAAACTCGATGCTTCCTTCTTATTCCCATGCCCAAGAACAGTGTATCTGTAATGACCCAATCACTGCACACCCCCTGTCCCTTAAAGGGATGTTGCTGCTACTGGCGGGGAAGGGTAAGGACTGAAAGGAATCAGCTTTCTCAGGCCCTTGTTGCCTTTGGCTTTCACTGAAGTCTGTTACCCCATTTCGGGTAGCCAGGGGCGGTCCTTCGGATGTACTGCTTAGGGCGTTCTGGGAGATGTGTGTTCGTTGCAGAGGAAAAGGTGGATAAGAAGAGACTGAATATATATTTTATCAGGACTGACTTGGGCCCCGGTACATGGCGGGAAGGAATGAGCAGAACTTGTGAGGTTAGCGGGAAAGTTTGTTTTGGAGAAGCAGGATTTCTGGCAGAAAGTGTGGGGCTTTGGAGTCTCGCTGACCCCTTCTCCAGACAAAAGCTGGTGTCAGATCATTCAGCAGTCCAAAACGTGTATGCGCTGCTTTTGGCGAAAAGTTGTTTTATTTTGCAATGACAAGATGATTGGACCAGGCCCGTTGTCCAGACCTGGAGCGTGAGCAGTGGAGCCTGGGTGCAGCAGGGGTGAAAGTGCAGTCTGGCACGCTGAGTTCTCAGGGGCTCGGAGACAGTTTTGCTTCAGTCATTTGTGGGGCTGGTATCTTCAGATGGAAAATCTGCTCACAGCTGGAATGTGGGGGTGCAGCACAGAGCAATTTACTAGGAGTGGGGAAGGTGAAGTTTGGAGCCCTGGTTGGGGCCGGAAGGCCTGCTGCAGCGGGTGTGCCTCCGGGAAGAGCGGTTTCTGCAGCTGCTGTGAGCGCTGCTAATCTCTCCCTGGTGCCCTCGCTGTCCCCACCTCAGCACCAGCCACCTGTGCGCACTGCCTGCCTTAGCGATTCTGAGTGAAGCGCTGGAGCCTCCTGACTGCCTCCTCGACGTGGTGACTGCCCTGCAGCTCACCGCCAAGCGCGAAGCGTTATTACTTGATTCTTGTTTCCTGGAAGTCTGGATCTAATTAGAAAAGAGTTTTTGAGCAGGTTTGAAAGGAAGGAGGAGCTTGTTGGGTCAGTAATACTGTTGACCTAAAGTTTAGTTTGTTTTTGTAAAAGAAATGAGTGTTTTTAATGGAAAACATTGAAAAGTAGTAATAAAGGGGGAAATTGCCTGAAAGCGACAACCATCATTAATATTTTGGTATATTTCCTTTCCATGTGCTTGTAATTAAATTTATGAGTATGCATTATTTAAAATATGACTCATTCTCCACTTATGGAATGATTTTTGAATGACAGGCAGTGTTGTCAAGAGAGAAAAGATCAGGTCCGATTTCGTTGGGCAGTTTTTATATAGGCTAAATGCTAAAGATACCACTTGAAGTGGTTTTCGCTATTTTTTTTTAAAGATTTATTTATTTATGCAGACAGAACTGGGGTACAGGCCAGAGGTGCAGGGGTGGTGAGAGGATTCACCAGAGACAGAGTGGGGAGCAGCAGTGTGCCGGTCAGGAGAGGTCTGCTGTACCATGTGGGTCACCTCCTGGCAGGATCGAACTCATGCAGAAGTGGCTTTAACTTCTTAGTGCTGTGCTGTAACCTGCTGTGCCACCAGGGAGGGCCCTGAAGTGGTTTTCTTTTCACTCTTACACACTGAGATCTAATTCACACACCACAGCATTTACCCTTTAAAATATGCAATTCAGTGGCTTTTAGTATATTCACCAGGCTGTGCAACCATCATCACTAGTAACCCCAGAACATTCCGTCACTCCCAGAAGAAATCCATACCCACTCGCAGTCACTCCCCACTCCTGCCCTCCCTCCAGTCCTGGCAGCCACCAGTCTGTCTCTGTCTCTGTGAACTTGCCTCTACTGGACATTGCGTGCATATCGAAGCCACAGCGGGCGGCCTTGTGTGGCTGCTGCTTTCACTGGGCACGATGTTCACAAGGTTCATCCATGTTATAGCTGGTAGCAGTACTTCATGCCTTTGCACAACTGAATAAGGTTCCCTGATACGGACGTACATTCTGTTCATCTGTTCATCAGCTGGCAGGTATTTGGGTGTTTCCGCCTTTGGCTGTCATGAATAAGGCCCTGAGTATCTGTCCACAAGTTTCGTGTGGACGTGGGTTTCCAGTTGTCTAGGTTAGACACCTCGCAGTGGATTGCTGAGTCATATGTCAACACTTTGATTTTGTTTCCTAATAATCTATTAGCTTTAACCTCAAATACCATAAAATTAACTACTTTCACGTTCAGTGGCCGTTTGGCTGTTCGCATGAGTTCTGTTCATCAGAACACATTCTGTCTCGTTTCCCAGTGTTTCCGTTTCTCCGAGCAAAACCCCTCACTCACTCAAGCATTTTCTTTCCACTGCCCGTCCCTGGCCGCGTCTGTGTCCTGTCTCGTGGACGTACCTGTGTTGACCTGTCTCACAAGGGTGTGTTTGCTCGTGCGAGCGGGGGATGTGACTGTGTCAAGCTCTGTCACTGAGCGGGCGAGAGAGGCCCGCCCACATGGGTCAGCGCGGAATCATTTGGGGAGAAATTACAGCAGGTTAACCACTTTGCGAGGGGCTGTGAGCTGTTTCCAGAGCGGCTGCTCTGCTTCACACCCCAGATTGTCTCCATGTCTGCCAACACTTTCCCTGTTGCTTTTTAAAATTATTCCTCCCCGTCCTCATCCTAGAGGTGTTTTCTTGTGGTTCTAATTTGAACTGTCTTGCCAGCTAGTGATGTCGGGCTTCCTTTTCTGTGTTTGACCATTGGGAGGTTCTCTTTGAAGAAATGTCTACTCAGACCCTTCCCTGGATTTCCAAGTTGGTTGTGTTTTTATTAGCGAGTCAGGCACATCTTGAATGGCCTGGGTGCTACTCCCTACCTGATACATTATTTACAGAATACTTCTCCCGTTTTGTGTTGCCTTTTTACTTTGTTGACCATGTTCTTTGGAATATAAACATTTTAAGTTTCAGTGATGTTCGATTATGTATTCTTTCTTTGGCGACGAGTGTTTTAGGTATGATGTCCAAGAAATACGCCCTAGTCCGAGGTCACAAAGATTTGCCCTTACGTTTTCTAAGACTTCTTTTCATCCATTTTGAAACCTTTTACATAGGGTGTGAGATGGGGATCCAACCTCATCTCGCCCCAGGCCCATTATTGCAGTGATGATTCTTTTCCTTATAGTCTAGTCTCGGCACTCTTAGCTGAAAATCACTTAACCAGAGATACAGCAGTTATTTCTGGACTCCAGTTTGTTCCATTGATCTGTGTCCTCGAATGCCAGCAGCATACAGTATTGACTGCCATAGCTCTCCAATGACGTTTGGCCTCTGTAACCGGAAGCCGTTTTCATTGTATGTTGAGTGTTTTTCTTCTTATATTGCTAGTTGGGGTCAAGTTCATTTCCTTCAAAAGCGGAAAGTTGTCTGAAAGAACCGTGCAGTTACCTTGCTAGCCCTCTGCAGAGGCAGTGTAGTGGTCACGATTACCTGTTTTATTGGGTTGGAGCTGAATTTGCCTCTTACCGTTGAGGAGGCCAAGGCCTAAAGGCAGTATGGGAGTAGCCTGCCAGCACCTGGCGGGTATTGGTAAGTGTTGGCTTGAGTAGTCTTGGAGGTCAGTTCCTAGTTCGCTTTGCTGACATCCTTTGCTTCTATCTCTGACGTAGATGATACTGAGTCTTTCCTGCACATGGTAAGTAATTTTAGAACGATACTTGGCTCCTGGGTGGCCCACGGGGACCAGAGGCAGCAGTTGGGTGACGCCACCCAGTCGGCCGGACCCCAGGCCGTGTGGACCGTGCTCTGCTGTCCCTGCGCGTGACTTTCTCCTCTGCATGGGAGAGGCCACAGCCGAACCTCCAGGCGTGAGCTGCTGCTCGGTGGCAGAGGACAGAAGGCGCCGTGCTCTGCTTTCTTCAGAATTACCAGTCACTTTCCTGCAGCCCCGGCCAAAAAGCCTGTTCACAGAGGAGTGACTCTAACTGTGTCACTTGGACCTTCTTGTTCCAGGGGAGCTGCGAAATCAGGTTTGTTTCTACCAGGAGAAAATTAGGTTCGTGTTAGAAAGAAGGAGTGTCAAGAAATTTAGGCGAAAAAGAGCAACCAAAATCAGATGAAAAAATCTGAGCAGAGCCTCCCTGGTATGCTGCACTGCGGAGCTAACAGAGGCCCCTGCAGCGCGAGTTCCATCCCCGGCCCGGAGGTGACCACAGGGCGCAGCAGCCCACTCCGTTCTCCCCGCGGCTCCCCTCAGCAGTGTGCTTATTCGATCTGCCTGTTCTGCTCCCCACTCTGTCTCTGGTGAAGCCTCTCACCCCCTGCACCTCTGGCCTGGACCCCAGTTCTGCATGCACAAATACAATCTTCAAAAGAGAAAAAAATGTGAACTGATAAAGTTTAGCTACTGTAGGAGAGAGCAGTACGTTTTTAAAATACATTTATGCACGTTCATCACATCTCAGTTGAGTATGTGGCCGGTGCTGCCGTGTTCTGAGCACTTAGGCCTCTTACTACTCACTTAATGTTATGTAGATTATTGTGTAATAGGCTTCTTTAATGTCTTCAATTATCTGTCATGGTTGACGTAATGATTAGGCAATTTTATTTCCATGAACTATCACCATGTTTTCAAAGGTCATTAGCACCACTCAATTCAGTTAGTTAACAAGTAATGAGTGCCGATTTTTCTTTTAGTCAGAATAGATTTGTAGATTTAAGCTCAATTTCCTGCCACTTCTGTATTGCTCTATGAGAAGTCACCAGTGTAGACTCAGAGTCTATATTAGGAATACCTACAAATAGTACAAGTCTCTCAGCTTCTGGTTTTTTCCACTGTGACCTCCTGATGTGGAGCAAATAAACAAAGGTAGGTTAATCAAAATTAAAAAAAAGTTTACTTTTACATCATTTTGTGCATTTTTCCATCTCAGTGGATAATCAAGATATTAAGGAATTACAATGTATGCCTTACATTTAGCTTTAGATATCATTTCCCCCATAATGCAACTAGGAGTTATTAGAATATTTTTCTTGATAGAAATGTTTAAGCCAGATAAATGGTTTTCCAGTCTTTTAGGATTTCAAGGGGCCAGCATTTGGTGCAGTTCTGTGTGTCTCTGTGTTGGTGTAGGGCCAAGCCTCTTGACTTTTAACATCTCTGGGAAGTTTACTACTTTATACTCACCATGTAACCACATTTTAGGAATTAGTCATAATATGTTTCTTTAAACTTGATCTTTTAAAGTCATTTTTTGCAGTATAACTTTACCCAAAGAAGTTTGATTTCCTGACACAAAAATGCTGACTTGGTTTATTTGTCCTGACACTTGCATCTATTAGGAGGTAACTAGACTTGTCATGAAGTCTTGACCCCACAAGTAACACTGAATATTATGTGTCAGAGGGCATTATGGAAGGGAGCGAAGTATTATATGTGAAGAAGTGCCAAAGACCATGGCGAGGTGACATAGATGGTTGGAACGAAATCTCCAGTTTTTTTCTCCTGTTTCAGATCCAGTTGTGGGACACGGCGGGGCAAGAGCGGTTCAGAAAGAGCATGGTGCAGCACTACTACAGAAACGTGCACGCTGTTGTCTTCGTGTATGACATGACCAACATGGCCAGTTTTCAGAGTCTGCCGTCGTGGATAGAAGAGTGCAAGCAACACTTGCTAGCCAGTGACATCCCACGGATTCTTGTTGGAAATAAATGTGACTTGAGAAGTGCCATTCAGGTACCTACAGACTTGGCACAAAAATTCGCTGACACACACAGTATGCCTTTGTTTGAGACCTCTGCTAAAAACCCCAATGATAATGACCATGTGGAGGCCATATTTATGACCTTGGCTCATAAGCTTAAGAGCCACAAACCATTAATGCTTAGTCAACCCCCTGATAATGGAATTATCCTGAAGCCTGGACCCAAGCCTGCAATGACCTGCTGGTGCTAAATAAGTCTTCATGATCGCATTGTGACTAAAAAAATACTTTTGAAGTATGACAATGATAAGTCGTAAGATTTAATCTCATATGTAATGGATCTTCCTGACACTTTGCTATTTGTCATTACTCACTTTTGTATTTTGTATCTACTTACTCCAGCTTGTCACTGTGACAACACAAGGAAAAAGTTGGTTTGCAGGTGAGGTTGAGATGGAAGTAAAGGTAGGGTGAATCAAGACATCTTTGGGAGCCCAATGAAAGAGGCTTCAGATGGGGGTACCGTGAAATTTGAAGTCAGTGACCATTCAGTCTGTTCCTGGGACTGAAAAAAAAAAAAATCAAGGGTTTAGTACATATTTGCTGGTATATCCTTGAAGAGGAAGTGTTCTCAACCGACAAGCCTGGTGCGTGCCTCTCAGAGTTCAGTACATGAGCGTTGCAGTTGGTACATGAGCATTGTGCGCTCATGTACCGACTGCCTTTCCCTGAGTACATGTAGAGCCAGAAGAAGGCACAGAATGTTTTCTGGTTCTCAGTCCTTCAAGAATGCCATTCCCAACAGTTCTAGCTACATTATCAGTCAGGTCTACAGAAGTCATTGTTTTGTAAAATAGTGGTTTGAATTTTTTTACTAGATTTTATGTGCAAAAATCAGTCAGATTTTAATGCAAATTAAGTGACTTAATAAGGTGCTTTATACTTTATTTTGATATCTTTAAACAGTGAAGAGCTACTTGAGGGCAGGTGAGGAGTTGCTACAGGGGGAAACAGGTGAGCAAGGCTCTGGCCGCCAGCGGGCCCGTTAGCCTCTGAGGATGTCAGCTGTGTGTCTGGCACGGCCAACGCCCCAGACCTGCTTAACTAGTAGAGGCTGAGTGAAGCAATCATCTCTGTGTGGACTGTCCCGGGTTTCTGCCAGACGCACACTTCTGGAACTGCGCCCAGAGTGTGCTGCAGCTTCCGGACACGCCTGTTCTGGGGGCTGCGCCTCCGCCCCAGGAAAGCCGAGTGAGAGACTGGGAAATACTTTGCAGCCCCCAGTGGCAGAAAGAATATCTCAGAAGATTCTTGACCCTAAATACCTTATTTTGGATTTCAGAGTTTGCACATGGAGAACAGTGAGCTTGCACAGGGAGCTATTATGCGGATGGAGCGTAAGCCATGAACTTGAGCGTGCGCATTTGCTAATTCGGATAGATCGGATAGATCGCTGTCCTGGATGAGTTCAGAGGAAACTAAGCCAAAGGATGGTTGCGATTACACTAGTTGCAGAATATGGGAAGCCAGTCAAATAAGAAGCCAAGCCCAGTTTCGACTTTGTTTAGTTGCTGTGGCGGTCCCAGGTGGGCATCTGGATGACAGAGGTGATGGTGCCCGCGGCTGCCTGGATGAAGTGACAGGTGTGGACATCATTGTTCTGCTTGAAACAGTGGATTTAAGAAGAAATAAGTTGGCTTTATTCATGTGGAGGAGAGTAATTCATTTTTCTTAGGCTAGACTTGAAAACTGGTTGGCTATCCGAGTTACTATTGACTCGTGTCTATTTTCATAGGAAAACAGTGACAGCTAAACAGAAACTTGTGATGGAGTAGGAGTCAGTTTTCAAAAGAATCTGTTCTTGATTTTCAGAACATTTTCTGACATGGGGGAAGAAAGTTTACAGACTTTTCCAAGCACATTTTATGTCTTTTCAGTATGTTATTAGTGATTAAAAAAACAATTTAGCATTATTTCTTTTTGTAAGAGGTTAGTGAAGTATCCTTTGTAGTTCTAGGAAACCACTTATTTTTTCACTTTAATATTTATTAATTTAAAAATATTTGTAACTCATTTATAATGATTTGTTTTAATTTTTCTATGTATGTTATCTTTTAAAAGAACACACTCACCAGTGAATGGAGATAAGCTTTTAGATACCTTTCAACATGTTTTTAAACATTTCATTGACTATTGAGAAATCATTTCCAAAATGGTGACTGTCAGGCAACCAATCATTTTTAAAACACAAGTCACACTCCTTGTTACCTCTGTGTGAGTTTCTTCTGACTTTTAAGGGAAAACATCAGCTAAGTTTTGGGGAAAAGCCTTAATCTGTGAACACCAAAGGAAGCAAATCTGGAATTTAGTTACCTGTTAATGACAATGCTGTGTTGATAGCAAGTGCTAATACACTTCCTCACGAAGTCAAAACTAAAATGAAATAATTTCGTGGTGGAATAGTGTCACTGTAACGTTTCCCTCCCGAGGTCCAATAAACCATCTTTGTGGTAAAGAAATTGTGTTTCACTTCTTTTGGTTGGCCACTAAGTTGTGTATAAAATAAAACAAAATCTTACTTTCTGGCTTCCAGTATTTAACACGTTAGAAACACATGAACAAAAAGTTTACCCAATAGAAGTGGTTGAAACTCGACAGGGAAAAAAACCCCACATATTAAAATTAGCTAATAGATTCTTCAATTTTGCAACGGAGCAGCCCAACTCTGAGAACATCTCAGACAGCAGTGCCAGAGCCTTAGCAGCTGGCCACTGCAGGTGCGTGGGAAGGCGGGGTATGTGTGCACAGTGCAGCCCTCATGGAATTCCTTCAGTTGACTTCCTCTGGACCTACCTCTATGGATGAGCATTTCAGTTTCCAAGCTTTTGGTCTTTCAAGCAAAAAGGTTCCCATTTGCATCTATCATTTTGCGAGCGTGTCACTCTAAAGAACACTAGACTGGGATTCATTTGCCAAGAGCATAAACGCAACACCCTAGTGACGTTTGCAAGAGTCAGTTGAGGAGGAGAGGATCTAGCAGATGAATTCCAGGAAAGCCTTTGCACAGCTGGCGGGTGGGACTGGGCCGAAAACTTGGCATCAGGGCTTAATAAGACTGTGGTTGGTGCTTTTCTGTTATTTGGACCCAAGGATCTTTGTGGGTTGAGTCACTAAATGCAAGTACCTCCACAAACTGGATATGGAAACAGACTTTGTCTTGCTTTATCATGGAGTGTTAAATCAAGGTGTCTAATAAACTAGTGAAGCCTATTTAATCTATCCCTTCCACTCAAAAATAGCAAAATAAGCTTGCCTGTGTGTGTGTGTGTGTTAATTAATAAAAACATCTCTTAGATTAACTGAACAGAAATAAAATTATTATCTGAGAATACTCTTTCACCTTATTCTTGAACTATCCTGTGTTTTTTAACCTACTTAGTATTATCGGTACAGTTTGTGATTATAATTCCAGATGAACCAGTGACCATGCTCTGGAAGTGGCTCTCAAACACTTTTTTTTTTTTTTTAAAGATTTATTTATTTATTCATACAGAACTAGGGTACAGGCCAGAGATGCGGAGGGTGAGAGGATTCACCAGAGACAGAGTGGGGAGCAGAACAGGCAGATCAACAAAGTACACTGCTGAGGGGAGCAGCGGGCGGGTCAGGAGAGGTCTGCCACGCCATGTGGTCACCTCCGGGGCAGGCGGGGATCGAACTCATGCGGAAGTGGCTTTAGTTTCTCAGTGCAGTGCTTTAACCCGCTGCGCCACCAGGGAGGGCCTCAAACACTTTTTAAAAAAATATTTGTTTTATTTATTGAAGCATACAAGAACTGGGGTGTAGGCCAGAAGTGCTGGGATTTGGGTGTGGGTGAGAGGATTCACCAGAGGCAGGGTGGGGAGCAGAACAGGCAGATGGGCTGAAATGCCCTGCCTGGGGGAGCAGTGGGAGACAGGAGAAGGCTGCTGTGCTCTGTGGTCACTCCCTGGCTGGGATCAAACTCAGGCTGCAGTGACTGTGGACAGCTCGATAGCGCTGGGACTTTAACCCCTGTGCCATCAGGCTGGCCCTGGCGCACACACTTTTTCTGATAAGGGTATAAGGTCTAGAGAGGCTGAAGGCTGGTATGGGAGCATCCGGGCACTGGTCTGTGGACTGGCCTAGATGCCCTGGCTTTGTGGCTGGGCACCTGGTTATTGGTCAGAAGCAGGTGGAGACAGGAGCTGCTGCAGCCTGAGGGTCCGCGCTGAGCCCCTGGCGTGGCCCACCAGAGCAGGAGGCACCAGGGCCTTGGGTCTGTGCGACAGCAGCGACTCTCACCTGTGGCCTGTGCAATCGCCCTCTTCCCCAAAGTGTTCACCGTTTGAAAATCTCATATCCTTTAAGTCATTTCTCTCGATTCTTAATTCGGCTCCCAGGGCTTTCGAGAGGAAAGCTTGAGTCATACTTCGTGGAAATGAGCGATTCCTGCCCGTCATGACGCGTAGTCATATTGCATTAAGGCTGCGAGAAGACGCGCCTTCTGGGAGTTTTGTTCCATGAAAGTGAAGCCACTGCGTTTAACTCCTTTGTTGAGCTTAACAAAGTGCAGCAGCATTTCTTAATTACAGAAAAGATCACGACATTAAAGACTGCATTTCTCATCTTTTTCCTGAATCGTGGCAGGCGAGGAGCCGATCTCAGCAAGAAGGCCCCCTGAGGACCCTGTCACAAGGCTCAGCCTCAGTTTCCCCTCTGCAAAACGGGCTCAAGTGCCCTTCCCTCCCACTTTATGTGGGAAAACAGTTATTATTCGACTGCTCTCTACTGACGAAATCCTCTTAGGAACACACGTAGGACTTGTTCTTCTGCCACTGACCCAGAAGCTGCTCATACAAGCTGCGCTGATTTCTCCTGTATTTTGTCTTAATGCATCTGCCAGCCCCTAATGTCCCGTATAACCAGCCTCCCTTGGGGTTGCATTTGAATGAGGGACCTTGAATTTCCGCTGTCTTCCACAGCAGAAGCAAGCAAACAGAAACTACTGCTTGCAGTGGGCTGGAGCCAGCAAGCAGCTGCCCTGACTTCGTGCTGTCTAGGGGCTACTTGCTGCAGGGCTCGCCCATCTATGTGGGCAGGAAGCTGCCCAGAAACAGCTTTTCCCTCTCACACTTTCTTCCCTGCGAGCCTCAGGACTTCTGGCTTAAGCCCAGTTATCAGAACATGGGCAGCGGCTGCTGTGTGCCCCGCCGGAGGCGTTTTTATTTTGGGCACCCCGCCAGGGACCCTCACTAGTCTCCTGCCCCCTCCAACTCCTTGCAGGTGTCTTTCACTTAAGACAGCTTCTGCTCCCACCTGGAGCTTTCCAAAGGCCTCACCTCATACCTCTTTCGAGCAAAAAGACTGACCCCCAAATAGGAAAATAAAACCAAGAAACATTTAAATGCCTACAAAGTAAAAACTGCAGACATTATTACTTGAGAAAATGTTCATGTTCAGGAAAAAAATGAAAACAACTGTTGGAAACAGTTTGTTAGGTTTTTCCCTTCAAAAGGACATGTATCCAGCTTGCTGGGAACTTGGTTATACATTAAATGGTTTACTTGTAGGGTTTTTTGTTTTTTGTTTTTCCAGAGAAACAATACTCTGGGTGGGTTTTAGCATATTTGCTAGGTGTGGAGTGAGGCGCCCCAAAGGAGAGATCATGCATTTGAATGCAGCTGCTTGTGGGTGGCGATAGGGAATGGGCTTTCATTTCATGCACACGCAGGTCCCCGGTGAAGTGTCTGCGGGTCGGCTGCCCGCTTCCCACGGCTGTAAAATAACCGCGGTGGGGAGGCGCTGGTCTCCCGGCTCCGGCTGCGCCGTCTCGGGTGTGGACGGCGGTGTCTGCACTCTGTGGCCATATACATCGCCCCCCCTCATCCACAGGGTTCACCTGAAACTGAGAATATCACCAAGTCCTATACTGGGGTGAGGCCAGAAGTGGCAGGAGGAGGGGGCGAGAAGGATCCCCAGAGACAGCGGGGAGCGGAGCAGGCAGATCCACTGAAACCCCCCGCCGAGGGGGCAGCGGGGAGGCGGGGAGACGGGGAGACGGGAGAGGTCCGCGGCGCCCTGGGGTCGCTCCCCGCCGGGCACTGAACTCGTGCTGCAGACTGGACAGCTTCGCGCTGCTGAGACTCAGCCCCTGCGCTCCCGCGCCGCCAGGGGGCCCAGAAGGAGTTTGCTTTTACTCTTAAGGCATCCACTTCACCTTTAGGCTCTGAAGCAATTTCAGAAACTGAAGGCAAAAGACTAGATGGAATCAAAGAGGTCCCCTTTGTGCTCATCGAGGGCTCGGGAGCTGCGAGCCAGGCTCCATGGGTGAAGGTCACTTCCATGTACTTTCTTATTCTAGATGGCAAAATCACACATTTCTTCCCCCCTTACCTCATTAACTCTCCCCATGCCCACCCTGTTCGTTTTTAATTTATAACCTTGCTAACTCCGTTCCGTGCTGGCCTCGGTCTCCCACGGGGTCCCTCGCTGAACCGTCACAACAGGGCTTGTGGGACTGTCCTGAAGTGTCCCCAGAAACAGGGAGCAAGGACTGAATGGGGGTATTTTCTAACATAGCAGCCTGTGCTCTGTGCAGAAATCTTCTCCCTTTGCGGGGTTGAAACAGCCCAGCAGGATGAAGCCTCTGTGTGGACAGCGTAGGGCAGCATGTCCACGTGGCCGGTGACCAGGCCGTGACCAGGGGCCGTCCACGGAGGTTTTTGGCTTTTATTCCAACAGCAGAGGGAAGCCGTCGAGCCCCCCCCACCCCGTCGAGCCCCCCCCACCCCCCCGCCCGCCTGCCTCGGCGTCATCTGCTTTGCTACTTTAAAAGTCTCTCTGGTTGCTGCGAGAAATGCACAGAGGCCCAGTGATGGGGCCGCAGGCCAGGGTCCCCCTCAGCGCTGGCCAGCCCCTGCCCCGCGGACGGCTGGGCGGACGCCAGCCCCAGCTGCGAGAGGTTCTTTTACCTTGGCAGACACTTCTTTGGATGGATGCAGCGGAACTTCTTAAACGCGGCCGCAGGCTGCACCCCGGGGCTCACCCTCCGGTAACTGCTTGGTCCTGTACCCCAAAACGTGGCGCTTCACCGATTGGCCGCCGCCCCGCAGGGCCAGCTCACCCTCTCTGTCTTGGTGGCGTGTGTGAGCCGCTGCAGCAGGCCCTGCCTGGGGCTCCCCAAGGGGCTGCGCTAGGGGCTCTGGGGCGCCCTCCAGTCTGCGCCGTGCTGCCCTGGCCGAGGAGCCGGGACAGGCCGGCCCGGGGCTAGTGGCTCATTCCGGGCTGGGCCTGAGCGCCAGGCGCGGGGCTGGGCTGCTGGCCTCCAGTGAACCGCTCTTCTCGGAGCCTGCGGCCGTCCGGGCCCAGCAGCCGGCCCTGGCCACGCGGCTCCGGCTCCAGGGGACTGGGCAGCAGCGAGGCACGGAGGCCGAGGAGGTGCCAGGTTAGCGGACTGGACTTGGCCAAGACGCCAGGTATGTCGTGAAGAGGGCCTTGTTGTGCGAGGAACAATAAGGTACAGAAGCCACTCTGCAGGGGGGTGGGAGGAGGGGACCCAGGTCTGGGGGGGGTTCTGTCGGGGGGCCCGGCGGGGGGACCCGGGGCTGCTGTGTGGAAGCACAGGCACAGCACGCTGAGACCAGCCAGATTCCCCCGGGCGCCAGACGCTGCCTCCCACCTGGGGCGTCGGGGTTCCTGACTCGGGGGCTCCTCCAATAGACCATCCTATTCCTGCATCCTCTCGGGGTTCACATAGGGGTTCACAAGAGCCTCCTAGTAAAGCGCATTCACTAGCTGTAGCATTTTAAGTGAGAAACTATTGAAACTTGTTTGTAATGAGATGAAGACTGTCGATGGAATTCTACCTGGAAAAGAGCTTAAGAGTCTCCCTCTCTGTCGCTCTGCTGTCCGTACTGCTCACCCCTCTCCCTCCTGTCTGTCTGTCCACACGGCACGGTAGCCAGAGTACAGTCATCACCTCCCGCAGTGAGTGTTCAGCGTACGTGTCTTTCTCCAGGCGAATCAGCAACCCCCTTTCAAGACATCTTCCGTGCACTTTTTCTCTTTCAACCAGCCAGGCTCGAATTGTTCTGCAAGCGCTCACATGCCACAAGCGTCCTATGGTAGGAGTGAGCGAGAGGGCCGAAGGGAAGCACCCAGCTCACTGCTCAGGCAGAGTGATCAGTCGGCGAAGGAGCCCATTGTTACCCCAGACAGGCAAGGAAACAGCCTGGCTGGAGGAGACCACCATCTGGCCGCTTCTTCCCCAGGTCACGCGGGGGCCCAGCCGTGAGGCCTGAAGCTCCCGAGTGCTCCTGTCTGTGGGCTCAGGAGC